TAGCCCTTCTATGCGTGCCACACACAACCCGCGCCCTACTATACTTGTTATGCCACATTTCGGGATCCTATGCTAAAGGGCCATATTATAAAGGTCTATTGTAATGTAATCCTCAGTCCCGAAATGCACAGTTACTCTGTCAGTTTACAAGCTTAAAAGCGACGACTGCTGAGGCGTCATGATAGGTTCCACTGCGTCAGACTACCCATCCATTTACTTTAACTTGACCAGTAATGGTGTCCTTAACTTACGTAATAGCAATTTCTGTCTTAACCGTTAAAAGTGCATGTGATCCCATTTCTTAAGTTATCTACAGTAACCTTTTCTACAGATGGCCAGCTCCTCCCTTGACGCCAGTGCCAAGATTTATGCTGGCCGAGTCGACGCCGTGCATCAGGAAACCTACAAGGTGTTGACTGGTCTGGGTCGATCCGATTCCAAGAAACCTCCAACGGAAGCAGACGCTAGAGATCCCGATGATGAAGATGAACAACCAGACAACGCGGATGGTGATTCTAAAGCCAAAGCGAGAGAGAAGAAACGGTCGGCCAGTTCCAAAAATGTCATAATTACCTCTCTGAATAAAATCCGCGCAAAGGTCAAAGCATCGGACGCCGATGTAAGTCTGTTGCATCTGTTTAGAATTATTTAGGTTTACCTCTATACGTCTATACCTACTCATTTCTTCCTTATCTATGGGTAGTAATTTCTTCCTATTGACGCTCTTTCGTGTGGGCTATACACAAAAGTACTAATTTACTAACGCCGCCTGCTCCCGTTATTCCAGAGCACACGGGTCCTCATAAAAGGATTTTAGACCTTTATCATACTGGCCATCGTGTTCACCTTAGGGAGGATGTGATGCTAAACAGTGAGAGTAGAAAATTAAACATTGATTGTGCTCCGCACTTGCGGTAGCTGATCGTCAGGCAGACTAAAAGTTACTTTACAGATTGATCAACCTCATGCGCGTCCACGAAAGCTGGATTCACCGCACTATTGCCTGACCACTGTGGCCATCATTACCAGCCTTGCCACCACAACCAACTCTACAGCTGCTCGTTCACTTGAGAATCCATCACATCGAGGCTGGCAAACCACTACCACGAGCACTGGCATATGGCCACCGCACCCAATTCAACTGCTCACACTACCTACGCACATCACCTTATTCCATGGGCCTATTCGGTCACATGCGCCTTTATGAAAATCTGCGGTAGAACACCGCCCGTCGCACCACATCGCAAATCTCCACACCAGCATCTAAACCACACACAAACACGTCAGATATCAAACACCACTAGC